CCTCTGCCACTGACTGGGTGCGAACGTTTGTTTGGGAAGGCGGAACATTAGGAAGACTGTTTGGCCCCTTACATTTCACCATCAATAAAGCTGACCTCCTTGATCTCCATGCATTGGAATCCATCTATTATCTCTCAGATCTGGATGGGGAAGGAAAGATGCCATTGATGGATCCTCTAGAACCCCATCAGTGAGTGAGTACAACACTAAATTATTAGACCTCATAAAATTCAAACAAAAGTAGTTACCACTAAGTTTAAAGCATAAACATGAAAAATTATGTATTTCACATTGGAAACTTAATATAGCTGTGAAGCAAATCCTTATTTTTCAATGCCACAACTTAAATTAGTCTTTAATGCCATTATATAAATTACAATTTAGCATTTTAGAATAGAATTGCTTAGCAAGTTATTTTAATCATTGTAAATGCTGAGGTTAGTAAAATAAAATAAAAACTCCAACTTCAGATATGCTAACATATTCCTTAAAGTTTATTGTGTAATAAACAGAAAACAAAATATGGTTCACATATTCACATCTAAGCCATCTTAATCCTCCATCCGCACAAGGGTTATTATAATCCAGCAGGATTATCTGCTGCCATCGGAGGCATGTTCTGTGGAGTTAGAGCTAAGCTACCTTTCCATTAAGTCACTTTAACATCTACTTCATTCCATGTTCTACTCAGAAACAGATATACATCAGTGTGACTCACGTGCACATGGAAGTAAAGTCATATCTTAGCAAAGCATGGTTCTATCTAACCCTTCTTTCCCCCCGCCCCCCACCTCCACAAACACACTGATCCCATGGGACTGAGACCCCACATACAACAAATCATTGCATCCAATTTATTAAGTATGATTGGAGCAAACAAAGAGGAGATGCAGGTACTTTCTCTCTAATAAAAACCCTTTGTTTCAAAAGAAAGAAAATACACTGCAATTTCAGAGCAGAACAAAAAATTTTCCTATTTTGTTCTTTCATTTATTTGTTAAGTGAAGATCTTGGTGGGGGAAGGCAGACCACACCCAGCTCACTGAAATCCATGTTGTCAGTAAATTGCAAAGCTGGATAAAAACTTGTGAAATTTCATTAAAAAAATAAAAAAGTTCCAAATCTGAACACAGAAAGTGAACCCTACATAAATCTTTAGTGATACCTAGGGAGGTAGGTATTGGGAGATATGCAGGAGTAGAAAAATAATATTTGAAGGTTGCAAGTGGGAAGCAATGGAGAGAAAGAATAAATGTGAACCATATTTTCAGTATATCATTCTAAAAATGGATAATTTAAATTATTTCATTTATTTAACAGGCATTAAGTTTAGGGCAGCACTTTGGACACTGTTACAGAAGGTGTAACAATGAATCAGAAGGTAGAACCTCTGCCCTCAAAGAAGATAAACAATTTTAAGGAAGAGACCTGTGCATGCATAACAAGGTGAAGACAGTATGTGTAAAATGACCTGATGCTCTGGGACATTCAGAGGAAAAATAAAATATTTAAAAAGGGGGACCAGGAAGGTTACATTCAGAGTGGATGGGGTTGGAATTCAGTTATCATTAAAGAGGTGAGGGCCTGAACATTTATGAGAAGAAAAGGATCTGGCAACAGCAGAGGCACAGGAAAGCACAGAAAACCCTGAGACCAGATCAGCTATAACCTGAATAACATTCAGGGGACTAGTCAGAAATTGATTAGGAAGAGAACTTCACGTCAGAGTGTGGAGGCCTTGAACAGTGGGGGAAAGAATTCAGATTCCATGCAGCAGGCAGTGGAGAGCCATGGAAGCTTTTTGAGCTGGGAGGTGTGGTTGTCAAAGCTGTACTTAGGGGGATTCGTGTAGTGGTGGTGGACAATGGCCAGAGGATGGGAGAGACCAGAGGCAGCGAGGGTTCTCATATTGGTCCAGTGAGGGAGCAGGAAGACTAAGGAAGAGGTAGGCATTGGGAGATATGCAGGAGTAGAAAAATAATATTTGAAGGTTGCAAGTGGGAAGCAAGGGAGAGGAAAGATAATGACTGACTTTTGAGCCTGGGTGATTGAGGAAACAAAGGTCAAGAGGAAAATCTGAGCTGAGAGAGAAAGATGAGGAAATCAGTTCGGGGCCATATCCAGATGAAGTCTAGCAGGGAGGTAGAAATACAGGACTAAGGAATTCGTTCCGAATTAATAGATGATAGGTTTAATAAGTAATAGATAGATTTAGATGTAACAGACAATATATTTTAGAGTGATCTACATTAGAGGAAAAGTTGAAGCTATTTAGATAGATTCACCAAATACAACAAAGAATATGTTAGACTTCTACCATCCTATCTAATAAAAGAGAAACATGGTAATTAGCCATACATCCGCTACCCTTCCCATTGGCTAATCAGGGCGATATACAAATTAACTGCCAGCCAAGATGGCAGCCGGCAGCCATGCACTGAAGCGAACAGGGAGGCTTGCTTGCTTCAGTGACGGCGGACTCCAATGTTCCCCGCCTGACTTGTCGGCCTCTCAGCTGCAACTCTAAGCAACTATGTTGCAAATATAGAAGCTAAACAAAACCCTAGAAACCGGCTTTCAGTCAGCCGGGCTTCAGCCAGCCGGACCGCAACATTGTATCAAATACAGAAGGTAAACAAAGGCCAGAAAGCTGCTTTCAGCAGGCGAGGCCTCAGGGCAAAGCTGGCCCAGAATAAAAAAAAGAAAAAAGAAAAAAAGGAGCAGTTGGGAGCTTCAGTCACCTTATATAATTGTACACCTGAAACCTATATAATTTTGTTAACCAATGTCACCCCAACAAATTCAAGGTAAAAATAAAGAAAATAAGTAAATAAAAGACTTGTATTATTAAAAAAATGTTTATTTTGAGATAATTGTAGACTCTTATGTAATCATAAATAATAGCATATGTATCTTTTACTCAGTTTCTGTCAATATCAACACTTTCCAAAAATATAATACAGTAATCACAAACCAGGATCTTGACAGATAGTCACAGCCATCCATAACTATCACCAATAGATCCATAGTGTTGCACTTTTGTAGCCACACCCACTATTCTAGCCCCACCCCTCTCCTTAACACCTGGCAACTACTAATCTTGTCTCTATTTTTAGAATCTTGACATTTCAAGAACTTTGTATAAATGCAGTCATACAAAATTTTTAGGATCAGCTTTTTTTCCCTCAGCATAATTTTCTGAAGACACTGTTTTTTCAGTGCAAAAATGTAAAATAATTTATATTGTATTGATTATACATTGAACTGATATTTTGAATATACTAGGTTAAATAAAATGTAGTCTTAAAATTAATTTCACCTTTTTCTCTTTTTAAATGCAGCTACTAGAAAATGTAAAATTACAAATGGGGTTTGCATTATATTTCTTTTTATTTTTTAAAAAAAGTTGTGTGTATCAATAATATGTTCCTTTTTATTGCTGTGATATGGATGGTACCACAATTTGTTTAAATGTCCATCCATTGAAGACTATCTGGGTTGTTTCATATATCCTATATAATAAAAGGGTAATATGAGAAATGACCAGTCACTATGATGTGTACTGACCACCAGGGGGTAGATGCTCAATGCAGGAGCTGCCCCCTGGTGGCAGCACTAAGGATGGCTGACTGGGGCTAGTCCCACCCCCCACAAGGAGTGGGCTTAAGCAGTGAGTCAGACATCCCCCGAAGGCTCTCAGGCTGAGGGATCTCCCCCCCCCACCGAGTGCACAATTTTTGTGCACTGGGCCTCTAGTAGATAAATAATTCAATATTTGTTTATGTCAAAAAACCGCCCGTAGTATTTGTATCCTGTATCACTGTACCGCTGTGAGATGCACCATTGGATCAAGACAAAATACCTGAGAGCATACAAGTAGCTGGAATGGGAGTCGGCTTACAGAGACTAATAAAACCACAATAATATATGGCACTTTACAAATTCATTCCTTGGAACAAATTTTCATCACTGAAGTCTGCAAATTGAAATACAAAGCAAATCTATTCAAATCCCTTATACCAAATTAAATCAATTTCTCTTTTCCATTGAAATCAACATTGTTTTCTCAATAACCATTAAGAATATTAACTTAAGTGTCCATTGGTAATTAGATAAAAATGATGTATATCAGTGATTGCCAAAGTGGGCGCTACCACCCCCCTCCCCGGTGGGCGATGCAGCAATCCAGGGGGGCAGTGATGGCCACAGGTGTATTTGGGGGTGATGAGTAACTGCTATTAAAATTTTTAAAAAAATTAATTTCCAGGGGCTGAGTAATATTTTTTCTGGAAAGGGGGCGGTAGGCCAAATAAGTTTGGGAACCACTGATGTATATTGTTACACATATATACAATGGAATGCTACTCAGCCATTAAAAGGTAACAGAAAAAAAAAAGATAACAGAATCTTGCCATTTGTGACAACACTGATGGATGTACCTTGAGGTCATTATGCTAAGTGAAATAAGTCAGATGGAGAAAGACAAATACCATATGATTCCACTCATATGTGGAATCTAAAAAAAAAAAAACAAGTGAACAGATAAAACAAAACAAAAAACAAAAAACCTCATAGGTACAGAGAACAGATAGGTGATTAGCAAAGGGGAAAGAAGTTCAGGTATGTGAAGTGAGTGAAGGGGGTCAGTTGTGTGGTGAAGGATGGTAACTAGATTTTTGGTGGTGATCACTTTGTAGCGTATACAAATATTGAATTAAGATATTATGTACCTGAAATTTATATAACATTACATACCAGTAAAAGAACGTATATTTTTTTAAAAAAGAACATGTATGAATTACCATTAAGAACAATGTATTTCATAAGAGTACTAATCACAATCTCGATCTCCTATGAACATTGATAAATGTTATGTTTGTATGCTCTTAATTGATACCACCTGTGACTCACAAACATACCTCCATACCTTACTTTACGTTAACTTACAATACCCTTATATTGAGCTACTCAGCAAGAATTATTCACCATCCAAGCCTTACCTGTTCATGGTTTCTCTGAAGGGCTGGGTTTCAGATGTTGGACTTCGGGGAAAAGGCTCACATCGATGCCATACAGTGGATCATCCAAAAAAGAAGGCCTTCTCAGTCTTCCAATGCCAAGAGTCTTCGACATAAAATAATCCTCTGTGTCACGAATAACCTCGTCCCGGGGAAACTGGAGGCATTTCATGTTCTCAGCTTCAATGACAAGAGCCTGTGACACGTAATGCCCAGTCAGGGCTTTGCTGAGATAGTAGCCTATGGATGTTTCACATTCTGCATTCTCGGGCACATCTGCATCTCCCACCTCGGTGCTTCTGACCTTTGTTTCTGAGTCAGTTAGTAACTCAGAGAGGACAGATCTGGAAAGCTGGGGGGACTCAGGTGTCATATCCTCAATGTCTTCCTTTTCTCTTTCTGAAGAAAGTCCAGTCATGGATTTTTGTTTGAATGTGCATTCATCCAGAAGACGCCTTAACTGTTCCTCAGAGAGAAGTGATGCTGAATCTAACTGATGAAACAAGCCAAAAGTTTTCATAGTCAACTGAGTAAACATTTATTCCTGGTGAGCTTCCAGTAATACAATACAAATCCAAGTGCCCTGAAACCCCTTACACAAAACACTCAAATAGAAAAATCATTCATTATAAGGTATCCAAAATTGCAAGAGAAATGTACAGCATCCCTAGAAAATAAGATTAGAATCAATCACATACTAAAATACAGGGAAAAGTCCCACAGCACTGATGGAAATTAATTACATCACCAAATAAACCAGTAACACTCGACACATATCAGTAACTTGAGCTGAAATGGAGTTATTAGAAAGCACCTTCAATTTTATAAATCTTGGAACATCAAGCAGGGAAATGAGCAACCACCTCTTTGATAAAGAGCCAGGAATCCTGCCATAATCTCCAGTAGTTGTTTCTCTGCCCCCCTCCCCACCCCTGCTCTTCAGTGGGAACCCTATCACCACCCAATTCCTTAACTGGAAAAAAATCTCGGGCAAACAGGGCAGATTACACCTGCCCCTGGGGATTCACCACTCCTATGTCTGTCCACAACTCTCAGCAGACAATACCACTGAAGACAGAAAAGGAAGGGTGAAGGGGTGGTGCATCCTGAGATGTATAGTTGTGTCAAAGCTGCAGGTCTAGACAGAGGTCAGGGGCATTCCAACAGCAGTGCATTCTGGGAGAAGGATATGATCAAACACATTTAATTTCTGCTTGTGAGGTTATATAGGGCTGGGTGTTTCAACCGACATCTTAAGAATTTAAAAACATTTTTTCTTCCAGAGATGTTCTCAGGAAATAAAATATCAAATAAAAGTGTAGGGCAATGTTCTACAAGGATTCAACTAAACAGCATGCCATTTGAATTACAACAATCTCAAAAAGAACAGGATTAAAATATATTGAATCACACTGAAAAAAATCCTCTAAAAAATCAGCACCATCTTTGATTTTTTAAAATATGTTTTTATTGATTTTATAGAGAGAGGAAAGAAGGATAGAGAGATAGAAAATCAATAGGCTGCCTCCTGTACACTCCAACTGGGGAGTGAGCCTGCAACCCAGGCATGTGCCCTTACCGGGAATCAAACCGGGAACCTCTTAGTTCTTGGGTGGATGCTCAACCACTGAGCTACACAGGCTGGGCTATCACTAATTTACATCGTGTATTATCTAGAAAAACTTTAGTCCTCCTTTACAGGGGAATGAATTATCAAAGAACAGAAAGTCCCCATAAGAAAACCTAAATATTAATTGCAATGGTCTTAAGTTCTACTTCACCATAGTTAGACAAAATTGGCCTATTTTGTGGTACACCGTAAGATTTAACCAAATATTCTGCATATGTAAAGTACTGGGGGTAGGGGAAGGGAGGGAAATGCTACTATTGGAACTGGTATAGTCAATTCCTCATTACTGTGAAATGCTCCTAATGCAGCTAATAAAAAATAGTATGCAAAACAAATTTTGTATCATGAGTTTAAAATATAGCATGTGTTTTAAAATTATATTTAACTTCTATAAATTAAAAACTAGTTCTCATAGTGGCAAGTGTCATTATGAGTTTGAGAGTAATAAGAATTTGTCTGGGAATATATTCTTAATAATTATCTGGGGTTCAAAATTCATGTAATTCACCCTAAGGTTAACAAACCTGTCAAAAAAATAGGAATTGAATTATATATTCACAAATCCTACTTCATTCACTAGATTTCGGACATCCAGGTGTGGTGCTTTGTCCATTAGGAGCACGCCCCTCACCCTACCATGTAAACCTAGTCAACTATAAAATGAAGGCCATCCTTATATGGTACAGGATACTTAAAATACCCTTCAAAATCTGCTTATGTAAAATAGTTCATAATGGCTAGACAATTCCTAGGATTCAGAAAGGGTCCACTAAGTGTCATCCTCACCGAAGGCTTATCATATGAAATTTCCAGATGCTAGGAAAAAACCAGTCCATACTGGAGCAAGAGGATGAAGAATTATGGAAGGAGGTCTGGGGGAGGGGGTGAGATTGGTAGATTATCTGATATGTTTGGCCACTTCCACAAACAATATTGATAAGATAGCCGGTTGACAGTTCTGATGATGTATTTGGCTAGACACGCAAAAAAAAAATAAGTAAAAACAAAGCAATTATGAACTCTGTGAACAAAAAGCTGTATGAAAAGAAAGGTAGTATTTCAGACAGATAACACAGAAAATTAAGCAAAAGAAAATAAGGTAATTATTAACTCTAGGACAAAAAGTTGTACAAGAAAGGATGCCATAGGATACTACTTGTTTTTGCTATAATATTTATACAGTCATCATAATATGAACAGTGATGCTTGAGGTAACCAAAAGCTGTGATTTAACTGGTTAGGGAAAATGGGAGGAGAGAAAAGGGATGTTTGGAGTAACAAAGTTAAATTCTTAGCTACCATCACAGGAAGTCATGTCAATAATAACACCATTACTAATATAAAATTTCCTATCATTATAAATAGATATAAAATTGATCAATTAAAAGAACAAGTTATTATGAAACAAGATAGAGGTAAACAGTAGGGGGAACATCTAGAGGAATTAAAAGTGGCTGATTCTGGAGAACAAACTAAGAAGTAGAGAAGGGGAGGCAAGGAGCTGCCATTTTTGTTAAAACACAGTGCTTTAATTTTTGATTAGTAATAATTAAAATTAACTTAAAATATAAAATTAATTTAAATGTTATCATATATTTAATAAAAATGAATTTAAAAATAAAAATCTGAAATATTAAAATGAAATTCCCAACCAATGATATCTTTGGACATAAAGAAGCAAATCCAGGTTTCATGGAGGCTGAAATGTATATAATCTTGGAGCAAGGGGAGGGTACATCTTTAAGAAAAAGAATATAAAATTATAAATATAAAATAGGTACAAAGTGAGGGGTTTTTTTTTAGAATTTGAAATATCACAAGTTACTGGAGCCTTGGAAAGTCTAGTCCATTTCGTACACCAGCTCTTTACATCATTTACCAGAAATGCTTATAAAGAAATTAGAGGCCCAGTGCACGAAAATGGTGCACTGGAGGTGTGTGTTGGGGGGGCGGAGGGTCCTCAGCCTGGCCTGTGCCCTCTCGCAGTCTGGGACCCCTCGCTCCTTACCGCCCACCTGCTTGCTGCTCTCTACTGCTCGGCTTGCCGCTCCTTAGTACTGCCGCAGAGACTCCCGCCACTGCCACTGCGCTCACCAACCATGAGCCCGGCTTCTGGCTGAGCAGTGCTACCCCTGTTGGAGCGCACTGACCACCAGGAGGCAGCTCCTATGTTGAGTGTCTACCCCCTGGTGGTCAGTTCATAGCGACCAGTCATTCCACCATTCAGTCGATTTGCATATTAGGGTTTTGTTATATAGGATGTTTCCTGATTGCAGCCTAGCTCCCTCTCTCCACTCAAGGTTCAGTGAGGGGCCTTCTTTGGGATGTCAAGCTTGACAAGTCCCAGATCCACAATATTGTCCTAATGGGTGGTTCTACCCATATCCCAAGGTTCAGAAACTGCTACAGGACTTCTTAAATGGAAAAGAGTTCAGTAAGAGCATCAACCTGGATGATACTGTTGCTTATGGTGCAGCTGTCCAGGCAATCATCCTATCTAGAGACAAATCAGAAAATGTTCAAGATTTGCTGCTGTTGAATGATACTCCTCTTTCCCTTGGCATTGAAACTGCTGGTGGAGTCATGACTGTTCTCATCAAGCACAATACTACCGTTCCTACCATGCAGACACAGACCTCCACGACCTACCTCTGACAACCAGTCCCTTGTGCTCATTCAGGTTTATGACAGTGAGCGTGCCACCTGGTAATGATGCATAACCACCTGAGTGGCAAGTTTGAACTCACAGGCATACCTCCTGCACCTCGTGGTGTTCTTCAGATTGAAGTGACTTTTGATATTGATGCCAATGGCATTCTCAATGTGTCTGCTATGGATAAGAGTACAGGAAAAGAGAACAAAATTGCCATCACTAACAACAAGAGTCGTCTGAGCCATATCTCATAGCAATATCTTTACTGATACATCTCTTAGGACAATGGAAACTAAGGAGAAAATAGACAAATGGGACTACTAGGGGATGACCCCTGATGGGAAAGAAAACATAGGTTAGAATGTGGGCTTTGACCCAAGCTTTGCCACCTTGTGCATGTCACCTAAGGAACCCATCTCCTTCTGCTGTAAAATGAAGAATAGAAAAAGATTATCTCTAAATTAACTGCTAGCTATAAAATTACTTTTTATGAACAAATGCTCTAAAAGTAAAAATAAATATAAGAATAAGCCGTTCTATGCATATAAGTATAACCAATG